GCTTCAAGTTCAAAACATATAGCCAAAGCCTGTGTTCTTAAACTTCCAGCTTTATAATGCTCGCAGTTCTAAAACCAAGATCGATCTATGGACACCCAGACACGCATACACGGAGGCACGGTTTCATCAAGGAAAGAGGAAAATACCTGTTCATTGTCACTGTTACTGTTTTCAGATGAGCACAAACGTAGTGAGCTATTTTAATTTTCGTAGTCCAGGCGTGCTGCAGTTTTAGCGAACAGTAACAATGGCACAAATAATAACTACTTTTAGCGCAAACTATTGCTTTGCAATCCTGGAGAAAATGGCTACTGTCTAACACAGAGGATATTCCATTTCTGCGTCTGCCTAACTGCTAACACAAAGCAATCCCCGCATGCATATAATTTATTTGACTGCTGATCAACTTCATCACACTGCACAAATAATAAATATTTCACGTTCGAAACCGAAGGGATGCAATGAATTCGTTTTAATTCAAACAGAAGAAATGTGCAAGAACACTGATGAAACGAAAGAGCAGGAGAGGTGGAGGAGGGGGGAAAGGAGGGGACAAGGCGGCAAGAATGGGCTGGAAAGGGATCATCGTAGGGCAGAAAATTCGGATAACGTTAAACTGAAATTCCTTTGTTTGGACAAAGTTTCCTCAATCCCATATTTTTTTTCTTTGTGAAAAAGCTTCACTCGATTAAAAAATGCCCAAATTTCACATTTTTTAGGACGCATCTGAAGCAGTTATTCGTGAGGTTCCAAACAGGAATTAAACAGCTTAAAACGTTCCAGAGCAGCGACAATACTTTGAGTAATCAACTTTACGCAGCAAAAATTATGAAGACTTCAAAGCTTTGACGCTATGATTCCATAATCCAGCATCAAGTTTCCAAAGTGAATTCAGTTTCATCGGTGTGAAATTAGGAGCCCCTGCTGAATGTGAATTTAATTGGTCATTTTTCCTAACAACTAAAGTTGAGTTTTGCAGACCCTTTTTAGCAGTCGCCTAACTGCCTCTGATTGTACTGGATTTAGTAACCAGCGAAGCGGGGATAAATTCTCAAAGTAAGGTTTCATGCGTGTTTTTTTTGCGGTCTGTATAGCACAATAATTTCACTTTGACTTTTTGCTTCGCAATCCGCTAATATTCTCGAAAAAAGGTGGAACTTCATGTACGATAACAGATGTCAGTCTCTCATCTAATCAATTTCTTACCATGCATTTTTCGAAAGGTATGCAATGAAACTGGCTATTTTGAGAGCTCGCCAGGATATTACATATATTCGCCGTTCCAATCAATGTCACCATATTCAGTTTTTACATTTCAAGCAGAAAAAAACCAAGACTGCTCAGACCAACCCCGGTGAGCACGGAAAGACTGCAGCATTTTCAATTTCAGTTAAAATTCATTTAACCAAATTTTGATGTTTTGAGCACTCTAGCGAAAAATCCCGTTTCTGTAGCTATCCGTCCTATCAAACAAAGCGATGAAGGCCTAGTTATGGTCAGTTAAATCAAAAGCAGTAAAGCGGCTTATCCACCATAAATGAGATTAAACAATTTTAGGGGATAAACGCTCGACTGGAAGCTCAATGAGCCATTCTGATGAATGAAAGCATTCATCTAATCTGTTCGCCTTTAGGACGTGGAGGTAAACGCTGCAAAAGGATTAGCAGCTTCCTACCCAAACAAATGAGTCATTATACTCTCATTGTAAAACTCTTACTCACAGTGATCTCTTCTGCGTTCGGTCATTTCAGAAAAAGTTGCACTCCCACGTTAATTTCTAATTTCTCTTTTAAATCTTCCAAAATACTTTAAATAGAAAAGTTCAGTAAAAGCTATGGTAAAACAACTCAGCTGAGTGAGCGAAAACCCGATTATACAATCACTCTACTGTCAACTCCCTAAGACTGCCAAACATCTTGATCCCATAAATGCTCACTACCGCCCCCTCCGAATCGGATAATCTGAGTCGATTCAATTTCAGTGAGGAAGTGGAAAGCTTAGGTGTGCACTGGGGTGCAATACATACATTCAGTCACTCATAACTAACGACTTTTACAACTACTGCTATTCTGCTGGGAATTACTTGTTTGTTAACATAATAAAATTCGGATATTTATGTGTACAATTAGCTAGCTAATCAGGAATATTACTAACCAACTGCCATAGTTAGCACATCTTATATAGCCAGCCACCATCTGAGTCGCTGCAGCTACTACGCTTATACGAATAGATGATCAGAAACAGAATAGCTGACCTAAATTCAGCCAGCACGCTTCACAGTTAGTTGAGAAGTTGCTCGACATGGTGAACGAGGGACGCAATGCTGGGACATTGAACTGACAGGGAAAAATGAAAGGGAAAGAGGGATCCACTTACGATATGCGATTTCGGCCCAAGAAAACTCTTGCTTCTAATGCTGGAAACGATTTCTTAACAATGCGGTAATGCTAGTCTTAATTACTGTCTCTGCAAAACTACTAGTTTCTAGGCTAACTTTTTCAAATCACCGAACGGCTAGAATTTTTCAACAAATGTGTGAACCAGGCGCACGGTTCCCATAAATTGTATTCTCTTTTTGGCACAAAGAAAATTATCCATAACGAGTAGTTAACACAACCGAAGAGGTAATGTTCACCTAAAGTTCGCATCCCCCCGCCAACGGTAATCTATATTTAACGGTGCATTTCGGGCCATCCAACCGGTCATCCATCAACGAAATAAGTGTAGAAAACAAGCAATTAGGATGATCATATATCCAACTAGCCCACCCAATCCGTTCTCATTATCCTAATGTACTATTTTCGACGCATTTCCACGACATTTGTTCCAGGTCATTATTGCATCCCACAATCTGGCGTTATTTTTGATAAATTCCATTATCGAACGGTAAGCAACGGGCATTATAAATACGCAAAGCTCTTTCACTGTTTAGTCAAAGGCTGCCTGGAAATGCAGTGTGGTATGAACACACAGTTGTGCCCTTAAGGTTATCATTCAGACAGTGTCCCTGAAGCAGACACATGAAGTAACCAGTCCAGTAACTGCTAAATATAATCATGAATGTGAAATCACTGAGTAACCCGTATGCGGAAGGACGCCTGAGAGGCAAAACGATCTCCAACAAGAAAAAGATAACAGCTGGAGGAGATGTAAGTGCTTGCTTATGCTGTGGCTTACGCTAAACTCCAAAGAGGCAGTATAAAGCAGCGCATGCGTCACAAAAACTTTCGGAAGGATTTCATTAAAATCAAAAATGAAAAACACTAACCAGTTATTGACCTGAAGTATCGTTAGACCAGTTTCATGGGCAAGTTGCTTCTTCTGATCTTCTGATGGGTACGGATGCTGAAATCACAATTTTTAAGTGAAATAATCTATGATATTTCTGGAAAAATGGATTGTGGGTCGGTACAATTGCAAACAAAAACTGCTACCGCTGCTGCTGCTGCCCCTTTTCTCTGTTGCTAACATCAACAGTTTTTATTCACCAATCCGATCAACTGTAACATAATACAACCCTGCTAGTTGTAATGGGCTGCGGATGTCCAGCAAACATCGACAAGAAATTATCAAGAGAAAGTAAAATTATATTTCTAAATGGTACAACTTGATGGTTGCTTGCCAAGATTTGAGTACAACGAGTAAAGGAAAATGGAGTCTCAAAAGGTAAGCCCCTGTCCCTACTATCTCACAGCCTTCAGAATCCGTCCCTCAAAAATACGTCCTCTGATTTTCAGAAGCTGATGAATTCGTTTATTTCTAACTACCTGCATTTTCTTTGTTACCATTACAATAAGTTATTCTAGAATAGCTTTTAACAGATCTCAGTTGATCTGCTCTATTCAGAAATTGAAATAGTTCCGAAAAATTACAAAAAGCGAATTTTCGTTCATTAATTTTAAAAGCTGCTGCAGATCAATGTTTATTAAGGAAAACACATATGTTGTTAGAAGAGTTGATTTATTGACCAATTACTTCGCTTGGCGTTTAGTCACTCACTCGGCTGTCCGTCAGTTTGACAATTCCGATACTGCTCAGTTAACGAGTTTATCCCCGCTTGTTTGTCATTTTGTTAAGTCCAGGCTGATAAATTCGCAGAATGCCTGCCAATCAAGGATGATGAATTGTGAAAGCAAATGGACATGTTTAGTGCATGGCAGAAGGCGAAGCGACCAGTCGGGCAGATGATAAATATACACGATTTTGCTGATGCACTGCACTCAATCAATGAACAAAAAGGCAATAACCACGCGCAGCAGACTGTGTCAGGCCGGATGATATGTGAGAGCGGGCTTACTTACCGCCACATTACCCCTGATTAATATGTAACATCAGTGAAACAAATCAGTCAGGAGCGCCAACGCCAAAGACCCCGAGATTCGTCAGAACACGCAAATCAGAGGCAACAACATGCTCACTCGTAGCGAAAGGATCACCTGAGGTCGTCGTCGAAATGCGACCCCGATATGACTAGGGTGAGAATAACCACCACACCGCCGGGAAAAAGTACGTAGAAAAAGCACTGGGCGCAGACGCATCCTTATTCGACTACTACAGTGAAAGATTTACGCGCAGCAGTTCTTGCATGATATGAAAATCGTAGAACAGCACATGCCTCAGCAAACAGCTTGAAAAGCCGCGACGAATACGCTATGCTTCACCTCACCATATTTTCAAAGCGAACCACAACCCAGTCAAAACAGCGTAATTAACTCTTAAAAGACTCCTCCACGACCAAAGTGAGGGTGTGGGCACCTGCTATTCTTTAAAAATATCTGGCACAACTCGTACTTGCACATGCACTAGGAAACACTGAGAAGTTAACACTCATCGGATGATTTTTACATGAGAATACTTCTCTACTTTTCCATTCTCTCATGCCTCTCTCTTCCTTCTTCCACCACTCGCTTGTCACCTCTATCTTTAGCCTTTAATGCATAAAACTTTAATATATGGATTGATTCATACATATGTTGGAAAACCGTCCCAAACGGACAAGCATGGAACAGCATAAACTGAAACTTAAATCATTCAGTGATAAAACCATTTTTTTCAAAACACTTCGGTATTCAGGCCTAAGTAAGTGTCTAGGAATTATTTTCATTTCATTCGTTTCAGGGACAACTCGAAAATTCTCACCAAAACATTGACTGGTGGAAGCAAAAAAAACGATTACCGTAATCCTGTTCATTTTGTGTGTTGGTTGTCAAGGTCATTCGCACATTCTTCAAAAATCGACTGACTCAGGACTATTTTCTGTCACCCCGACTACTGCTATCAATTGAAGTTCCGAATCAAAAAGAAATTTAGCAAATCTTATTCATACTATGCAAAACGTTCTTGACTCAAATTCAAATAATTTTGATTAATTTATGTACTCCTGATGGCAGCCAACCGAGTCGTTCTGGGGATACATGGGTGAACAGTACTGAAATTCAATAGGAAAAATTGAAAGTTAGTGAAAGAAGAATGCCAATAAGGTAAGCAGCCAGCAGTACGGTCAACTTTTATGTGAATATCGTTTTGGAAAAATTTTAGAGCTATTCAGTCATAACAACAGCGAAATTAACATATATTCAGTCATTAGGTATTTACGTAGTTGGTTGGCATATACTCTTATGCGGTAACAATAAAAAGTGTTTGCTAAACAATTCCAAACTAGTTTTGAATATCGAAATTACAGCGAGTGAATGCTGCCAGAACGAGCAAACAATCTCGCAACAAAAATAAGCACAAAATTTTGTAGTCATTGTAACCAGCAACCTCAAATACAGTATCCGCAAAACTTACAGTAAGATTCTGGAACAGCCATGCCCTGAATTTGGTGATCGCTTCCTTGGAAAAAACTTTTGGTACTTTCCGTTTATTTGCACCGGTCGATGAGCCTCCACCACTTCCAGTATTCCCATCGCTCAATACTGATTCCCTACCACCATCATCGTTCAACGAACCACACATCGACAACGACTCATCGCCTGTAAACACACGCGCCACTACCGCCCCACTTGCCCATAAAAGCAACCATAAATCCAGGAAATCCTTACAGTTAACAAGTAGCTATCCAATACCTTTCAATCAGAAGAACTACTGCCTTGTAAACTGAGGTTATGATCTGTGTTGGCTGGTTTGCTGGCTAAGTTTCCTAAGCAGGGAAAAAATTTATTCTTCAAAGATGCATACAAACCGGAGCAGAATCAAGCAACAACAGATACAATATCAGCTAAGAACATAAGAGGTAAGAACTCAAATTCGCTACTTTTACGGGGAGCTAAAAATATACAAGCTAAAAATACAAAACCTTTATGGGATAAAGAAGACCTGGACACGGGAACTGATAAACTAATACGGTCAGCTGACAGACATTTCGAATGAAGATCCCTTTAGGAGTGCCAATAAGAGACGAGTGCGAGTGCTCCGTGAAATAATGTTTGAATCTCAAAAACTCCTAGTAGCAGCAGTAGCAGCAGCAGCGGTGTGCAGTACTTAAAAGCTGACAATACGATAAAAACTAGTGGTAAAAGTAACTATTATTATTGTATAACAACAATGATAATAGTGATAAATAATAATATTATAGTAGCAACAATAACGGTAATAGTAATAAATAATAAACGATGACCACAGCAACAATGGAGGGGTGGCACTAGTCGTAACAATAATTACAGTGTGAGCAGTATTAAAAAAATTGCATTTCCAGGCAAAAAATAAAATATAAAACAGAAAAAAGGTTAAGCAAAGGCTAGTAATGATTTAGAAATTAAACAAGCGTAGCAGTGAATTGAAAGCCAAGCAAGCCTACTTCCTCTGCTAAAGCCAAGCAACTTTTAACATTGCGTTAAAAGCAAAACCCGTCATTTCACCTGTACATTTAACAAAAGCATTTAGAGCACTTGCTTGTACATTTAATAAAAAGCACTTGCATTTCCTATCACATCATTTCAGTCGCTAGCATAATCAGCCACGCGAACGCAGTATGAGTTACGAACACTCACTTTCACAGAAAAAAAGAACCATGCACCCACCTGTGCATGTCCACCATGCATGTGCGCCCAGTTATTATGCAGATTAGTCAGTTTATGCACCAGCATTTGTGGTTACAAGCCGGAACTAACCGTTAAATGATGAAAAAGCCAGGCTCTCATGATATTTGTGGCTGTTTTCGGGAAAATTCCGCGCTTTTTCGTCAGCGATATCACCGAGGGCAGCGATTTCATAGCTGATCGACAATCTGATGAAGGTACTACCGTAGTACAACCCCGAAGTTGCTGGTGTTGATGCTGCTGCTGCTGCTGAGGCATGCTGTCAATACAGTAATCGTAACAAACCTCTTCCTGCAACTGCTGATCGTCGAAGCAATAGGGTGATCTTGACCCTAGACGTGAACCAGAACTTGTGCTACCTGCAAATGCAACCCGCACACACATATGGCGTAGTCGTTTCGATTTCGGTTAAAGCAACTCTTCTTCCACGTTAGCCATGCAAAGCAATTATTCGTTAAAAAGAGGAAACGATTTCAAGCCAAACACTAACGATCTAACCACAAAAGCTGTGGCACCAGCAACTGCATTAGCACAAGAATATTGTATGAGGCTATTCAAAATCACTTCAATTTTCGACGCTTGACATTCCCAAGTGTAGCGAGATTACTCCAGGCTCTTGCAATACATGTTACGAATTACAAAGAAGCCAACTCCTCCTCACCCGTTTCCCTCCTCTACGTCATGCTACGTGTCTTGAACTTCAAATCCCCAAACTCCAAAGAAATCTGCGTCTTAAAGCAAGAAATAGAAGCAATGTCAAAGCAGTAGCCCCATTCTCACCGAGGTCACGCCACTGTTTAACGAATTTGCACAGACAGATATTGCGACACCTTTCCAAATGATGTTTTTTTTTTCCTAAAGTATGTGCAGCATACTACTCCACGCCGGTACACGCTGGATGGGCACTGAGACCTGACCACAGAAAAAGCTAATACGCGATGTTCATACAGCACGGCTTAAATGCATCCACGACGCGAGCACAGTGATGCGTATATGAAAAATGCGCAAATGCAGCCTAAGCACTGGAGAAGCAAATGGATAGATGGACTGATGAGGCAGTGAGTTTGAAAGTGTTGAGAAGCAATGCCTGGATTTATATACATCTCCCAAACATAATAAATTAATAAGAGAGTTGATTAGGATGCAGTGGAGCGTGAAAGAGCACTGTAAGCAGTGACGCAGGGTGCAGTGTGCAACGTGAGGCGTGCAGAACAGAATTGCATCAGATTTTATTTCATTTACAGTCCAAAATAAATCACCATTAATGTCAAAACTAAAAAAAAAAAAAAAACTCAAGTTTCTCCTGAAGCATTTCAATAAAGTGAAAAAAAAACGAGAAATAAATTAGGCGACAAACATAAGGAACGCAACAAACCTCTCAAGCTAAACTCGCTTTCAAATTTTCGCATAGAAAGAAATTTGCAAAAACTGACCCCTGAACTTCTTTGAAAGCCAGTTAGAGGCCGAATTGTGGATAGTCCAGCCTCAGCAAAATACCACTTAAAAAAAAGAGAAAAATAATACAAGTATAGATTTCTCACTTAGGCGAAATAACAAATCCGCTGACTAACAAAAAATTATTTCAGAAGAACATTCAATTCAGAATTCCTAAACCTACAGATCCCAAATTGCAAAATCTTGAAAATTTTTAAAATCCAGTTGCTGCTACCTTCAAACGTCATACGCCAAGTAATACTCAAGAGCTACAGATGAATAGACTAGGGAAGCAGCTATGCAAGATCTATAAATTGAAGAGCACTAATAAATATAGCAAACAGCTCTTCCCATATATATCAAAGATGGATCATCGCGCAATGATAAGAGCAAACAAAAAGTTATCGTTAGCAATGAAGAAAACTCAACAACTGTCTAGCCAGCAAACCGTACCAGTATACTGGGAATTGTGAGGTTTGTATTACACGATGAAACCAAAACCTGATCAGAGCCAAGCTGGCTGTATCCTACCCTGTTCTTAACGGACAGATCCACTATACGCCAATCCAAATCATTCCATTTGTACAATTCAAGGTAACCAGTAGTTTTAAAGCCCAAAACTGCATTAACTGATGTAAGTTCCAAAGCGCAAAAAAATTTATTCACCGCTCTGGATGATACTTCCGAAGCAGTGCTTCGACTGCATAAACATCAATTTCAGCAACCGTAACTTTAGGCCAATTTTTGGTGTCTTACAGTCAAACTTAATTGAAACAAAAAGACACCGCCGTTTTGCTGACTACAGTTTCAGTCAGAAGTCTCAGGTAAGAAAACCCCCAATTCTGCGAGATCTTGGGAACACCGAATCAAAAACTAAACCACACCCACCAAAACTTCGGACAAGTCAATTGTTTAAAAAATGCAAAAATACCGGTATCGGAGACATTATCCTGTTGTTGTGTAGCAAGCAACTGCGTCGGTGTTTCCACCGAATGTGGCGTTGAGTCGAGTCGTTGACCACCCGCTGATGAACTGCAATTCCATTCACATTTTGCCTCAATATCATAGCGTTGGTGTACACATTTTATTTTGATATGCGGCGTCTCGCTGAGTTGCTTTCCCTCAGTTTCTGTATTTCTCTGCTCTCATGAATGTTACTCGATAAACTGCGATTCGCTCCGCTTAACAATGTAAAGGCAAGTTTGACTACGGC